TGAGGGGTGTACCAAAATGGGGCGAGGCCGCCATGCGGGCTGCGCCACTGGGGCCTTAGGAGGAGCCTCCTTTGGGGCCACTAAACATGTGAGGGGTGTGCCAAAATGGGGCGAGGCCGCCATGCGGGCTGCGCCACTGGGACCTTCGGTGGAGCCCCTTTTGGAGCCACGGAACGTGTGAGGGGTGTGCCAAAATGGGGCGAGGCCACCATGCGGGCTGCGCCATTGGGACCTCAGGTGGAGCGCCCTGTGGGGCCCCGAGACGTGTGAGGGGTGTGCCGAAATGGGGCGAGGCCGCCATGCGGGCTGCACCACTGGGACCTTAGTTGGAGCTCCCTATGGGGCCACGAAGCGTGTGACGGGTGTGCCGAAATGGAGCGGCGCCGCCACACGGGCGGCGCCACTGGGACCTTAGGTGGAGCTCCTTATGGGGGCCACGAAACGCTGTACTGGGTGTGCCGAGACAGACACATGCGGAAAGCAAAGGCAAGGAGGGGGAGGAGGGAGGGGAGGGAGGAGTAAGGAAGGAGGAGGAGAACGCTGGGCGCTGACTCTTCAAAACGAGGACCCAACACCACAGGATGGTTGGGAATAAACTTCTCGGAAGGCAATCGGGTGCCAATCCGGAACGAAAGGGGGGATCTGCTTTCACAGTGGAGTTTGATGCACGACATGGTTATTGCAAACTCGTTTTTCGCAACGGCCTCCGAAGAGGCGTGGACCTTCCGGAACGCAGATCGCCGGTCTCAACTCGATTACATACTAGTTGACATCAGTTTGAAAAAGCACATTCGGCAGTGTATTGTGGACGGAAGCGTCGATGTTGGCTCTGATCATAGACCAGTACGCCTTGATTTGTGCATCGTCGTGGATAGGCGGCCCAAGCTGAAGAAACGGAGGTGTGACAAGTGGGTGCGTGGACAATCGTACACCCAAGAGCTCGACTCTATGCTCTGGGAAACTCGGTGGGACGCGCTTTCAGCAGCAGAGAAGATGGACGAGATTAACCGGTGCATGAAAGAAGCGGCGGGCCGAGACAAGACAAGGTCGTGTTCGAATACGAAAGGCCCGGAGACGCTTGCATCGACCTTGGATGTCAAAATCCGCACGCTCATTCACCTGCGGAGGCAGCTTCCTGCATCAGACCGGACGCCAGAGGAGAAGAAACGATTGCGCGTGGAGTGGGGGAAAGCCATCCAGAAGTTGATTCGTTACAGGCTCAGCCCACAGCGCGTGGACGACATCGCAGAAATCCTTGGTGAATTCCGTGGTCTACAACGTCTGGCCGCCATCACGGGGAAGAACAAAAACACGCGCATCACGGAGATGAGAAACAAGAGCGGGGATCTGGAGCACGACAAAGCATCTATAGCGGAAGTCTTCGCGCAGTTCTACGAGGATTTGTATTCTACTTCAAGACAAGGCAATAGGGCATCCTCCTACGAGATGTGCGGCGGAGACCGGGTGCCCGATTTCACGGAAGATGAGCTGAGAGACGCAATCCAGGAGATGCGGAATGGCAGGTCCGGCGACGACAAGGGGATCACAGCTGAGATGGTCAAGGTGGATTGCCCCTTCCTGCGCGAGCTCATCCTGGGCACCTTCAACGCAATACTGGATCCGAGCCAACGTCTGCCTTCTGACTGGATGGAAAGCCGCATCACAGTGCTGTCAAAAAAGGAGACGCGGCTTTGCCATCGAACTACAGACCGGTCGCCATCCTAGCCATCTTGTACAAACTCTTCAGCAAACTCTTGTGCGGCAGGCTCCGCGGTACCACTTCAGAAGGCCAATCGGTCGACCAGGCGGCATATCGCAAAGGATTCAGCACAATAGATCATCTGCTGACCGTCGCCTTACTAGCAGAGGCCAGCAACACGTACAATGCTGAACTGTGGATGGGGCTTGTGGACTTTGAAAAGGCTTTCGACACCGTCGAGCACGATGCTTTGTGGAAGGCGCTGCGAGAACAGCGCGTGCCCGACGGGTACATCGATTTGTTGAAGAGGTTATACGCAAAGCAAGGGGCCAGAGCTTCAGCAGGAGAGAAGAGCCGCTTGTTCGACATTGCGCGAGGGGTCAAGCAGGGAGACCCCATTAGTTCTTTTCTTTTCATGGTGGTAATGGAGGCAATATTCAGAACCTCGAAGCGCAGGTGGGCGAGTTTAAACGCAAGAAGGAGTGGTCCGTATTATGGTATTGTGATTGATGACCCGTCCGAGCCCCTTACTAACCTTCGCTTCGCCGACGACGTCATGCAAGCGTGCACTTGCAAGAGAGATGTTTCGCGAATGATCGTTGATCTCGAAACAGAGGCAAGAAAGTATGGCCTGAAGTTGCACATGGGGAAGACGGTTGTGCTCACGAACGCAGAAGAGCGGCCGCTGCACGTCCAATGCGGGGGACGCGAGTATTACAACACGGGGAAGCAGAGAAATATTTGGGAAGGAAATTGACGTTCGATGCATACCACGAGACGGCGCTGCCTAACATAATCTCTGCTGGATGGGCTTCTTTCACAAAGTTGAAGTCAGTGCTCTGCGACCGCCGGCTTCCTCTGGCAGACCGCATGCAGCTTTTCTGCGCCTGTGTCACGCCTGCGGCGCTCCACGCAGCGGGAACCTGGGCGTTGAAGAAGGACCAGGAGAGAAAACTTCAGTCTGCGCAGAGGAGAACGCTGCGGAGCATGGTGGGCACCCACCGGCGACCGGACGAGGACTGGGTGGAGTACATCCGGCGTGCCACTCACGTATGCCTGGGCTTAGCTGAAAAACACCACGTTGAAGAGTGGATTGTGCTCTCACAGAAGTACAAGCGGGAGCTTGCCGCCAGGAGTGCTCTGTGCGAAGACACCCGATGGAACGCGCGGCTCCTCGACTGGATTCCGCGGCGTCGGTTCTTGCCCCGCCGTTCACAAGGCGGGCAGAAGAAGCGCTGGACTGAAATCTGAGGCCGCCATTGCACATCATGTTGCAGAGTTATGTTGTTTCTTCCTCTTGTGCGCCGCTTGCGATTGATTCTCATGCATAGCCACGCGTGCTCTTGTCTTTTCACCGTTGTCTCACCCATCTTCCCATCTTGCACTGTCCTTCATTGCCTTCTGTAATCGTATGTTGTTCATTATTGTTGCGGCCCGGCGCAATGCCGGAGCAGGCGGGCCCCCCCTCCTGCCTCCAAGGGCCGTCGCATCGCATCGCATCGCATTCTCGGAAGGCGCGAGGGCTTCTGAGAAGCCCCGCCGCCGTCCGAGAAGGCCTTCTCCTTCTCACTTCCCCCCCTCGGCCGCCGCCGAACAGGGGCCGCGCGGCCCGCCGCAGGGCACCGGGCGCGCCGCGCGGCCCGCGCGGCCGCGCTGCCCGCCGGCCCTTGATGCGCCAGGGGCGCCGGGCACACAGCGCACCCCAGGGGGAGGTCTCCAGCAGGGCAGCCGGGCCTACAGAGCTAGTCTCGATTTCTCCGATCCGATGCGGTCCGATGTCGATGGATTCCGCTGGCGAGGCGACTCGACTTCGGATCCCGATGTGGATGCCCATGTCTCCGTGAGGCAAGGCTGCTCTGCCGATTTCTGCCGATTCGACTCTTCCCGGCTTGCCTGCCGATTTCCGCAGACTCGAGTCATTTCCGTCGCCGATTCGGCTTATCGATTCGATTCTGGGCTCTCCCAGGGGTGGACCTACACGGTGTTTTGGCGATTTCGTGGGCCGTTTTCGTTCCGATGTCGTTTTGCAGCAAGGGCGAACTCAAGCCAAAACGAGGAAAGACGGAAACAAAACGAAAACGAAAAACTGGAACGAAAAGGAAAACGAGGAAAAACGAAAACAAAACGAATAACTAAAACAAAACGAAAATGAAAACGAAAAGGAAAACGAGGAAAAACGAATCACTGTTTAGGTCCAGCCCCGGGCTCGTCCTGGACCATAGACGCGTCCACTGCCCCAGGCCTGGCCCACCCCCGGGCCCCAGGAGTGGCGCGTATTTGCCTCCCTGGCCAAGCCAGGAGGGCGCGTTGCACCGCTCCTCCTGGGGGCAGCGGATGCGCACACACTGTTCATGTCTAATTATTCGTTTTTTTTTTTTTTTTATTTTTAATATATATATAATATATATATATATATATATATATATATATATAATATATAGGGGGGGCCTGGATCCTTTCATTTCTAATTGTTCTATCCTGGGCTTCTTCCTGGCCACTTAGGGGGCCAGGAACCATTGGAAGCGAGCACCATTAGAAATGAGCACGATTAGAAATGAACGACGTGTATACGGTCGGACCGCGGACCGAGGCATGAGCTCGAGGTTGGTTCGGGGAGGGTGCCCTAATGCTCTTCGTGCTTGTTGGATGTTCTTCTTGTGCACCCTGGGGGGGGATATCCTCGAGTGATCTTCTGGTTTGGGGTGTTTTGGCAGTTGGAGGGTCTCATGTTCTTGAAGGATGTCCTTCTGTCCTCGGTCCGACTGTATGTCTCGTCGCCCTTTTGGGGAGTACGGCAGGTTCGCGTCGTGTCGACCGGCGGCAGTCCCGCCGCTGGCGTCCCACCTTGGGCGCCGCCGATGACCCAGAGCCAGTCGATGCTGGATGATCCGACCTCGGCCGATCGTTGAAGGTTGACCGATCCCCCACGTCGTGTTTTTTTCTCGCAGCGTCGACCCCCAGAGGTCTGGACACCTTCCCCAGGAGCGGTTTTTCCATCCTGCGTCGTCCTTGACAATGGTCCCGAGGCCGTCCTTCATCCTGCGCCGTCCGTCCTCCTGCGTCGTCCGGCGAGGCCCCCTGGAGGCCAAACATGGCCGATGGCCTCCCGTCGCGGAAGTGTTTTCGGAGAGGGAAGCACAGACACAATTACTCCTCGATTCCCCCCAGAAGCCCAGAAGATATATGAACATATGGGGATTATTTCAATTTGTGTATATTTATTTGTGTGTCCTGGGGCCCCTTCATTTTTCAACGCGAGGGGGTCTGAGATCCCCGCGGCGTCAGGAACCCCCGCCGAAAGGTCGGCACCACACGAGCCCGCGGCGGCGGCACCAGTGCCTTCCACACTGCGCCCCGCCCACGGGCGGGGGGCCCGGCGGCCCGGCGCTTTTCCCGCGCGTGTTCGGCCAGGCGGGCCCTTTGGGGGGCGCTCACAGTACACGCCCCGCCTGCCGAGAGAAAGGAGCCGACGACGACGACGGCGACGACGACGACGACGACGACCACGACGACGACCACGGCGACGACGACGACGACCACGACGACGACGACTATGGCGGCGGCGGCGGCGGCGGCGGCGGCGGCGGCGACGACGACGACGACGACGACGACGACGACGACAGCCACCCTCCGGGGGGGGGGGCCTGGGGGGCGCTCACAGTGCACGCTTCGCCTGCCGAGAGAAGAGGGCGGGAGAAGCTATCTTCGAGTGTCACAGTAGCCAAACCCCCTCGGGCGATGAAAAAATCCCGACGGGAGGTTTCTCGCCATTTCCGGCCTACGGGGGCCCTTCCTGGGTGTGGGGACTGGCAACAAAACGGCTCAGGATGAACATCCAGTCCCGGGGAAAGGGGTCCAGACTTCTGGGGGTCGGAGCGCAGAAAAATAACGGAATTCGGGGGTCTGCTGGGTAGCAGGGGGGGAGCCCACACGAGTGTTCGACGGCGGTCTTGAGATCCCCCCCAAGAGCGGTGCAGCCGCATCATAATCCGACCCAGAGAGGCAAAAATGGTCCCCAGTTCGACCCCCCCCCCCTTAATCTTGTCTGACGAGGCCCGTTAGACCCCCCAAACAGAGACCCCCCCCATTATCATGAGATCCGGAGTCGATCTCCGACGAGGTGCTTTTTTCAAATCACTGCGCTTTCCTCCGATTCCGGCCCCTGGGGCCAGTTACCGGGCCCCAGGGCCATCAAGAATGGATCCAGGACGGAAAACAACCCTGGGGGAAGCGGTCGGGACCATTTTTCGGCGGTCAGCCGCGGGGGAATTGAGAGGGGGCGGGCCTTCTCAGAAGGCTCGGAAGTCCCCCGGGCCTTTCGAGAAGTTTTCTAAGCCCTCCCCGGAGATACACGAGGCTCCCCAGAAGGCGCGAGGGCTTCTGAGAAGTCCCGCCGCCTTCTGAGAAGGCCTTCCCCTGCTCACTTCCCCCCTCGCTGGCCGCCAAAATTCGGGGGCCGTGGACTGCCAAAGCCAGATCGGCGGATGTCAGGGAGGGGGATGGCGAGGGCCAGAATCGCCAAGGGGTCCTACAGTCAACGCGCATAGTAAGGACGAACGACTTTTTCAAGGGCACCCTTGGGTCCTTGCCTGCCTCAGCCTCTGAGGCCCGTTCCTAGCAAGTTTCGCCGGCCAGTTTCTCAGATTCCCTGGGGTTTTGGCCGCCTGCCGCCCAGAATACTTTAACTTCGGCCTCCAAGGGTCTTGCGCTGAGGGGGGAAAGCTGCAACGTCGGCGCTGATTTGCTACGCCCCCCCGGGGCGCCCCCGCCGGCGCCCCCGAAGCGCCCCGACAGCGCCCCGCCAGCGCCCCGCCAGCGCCCCGCCAGCGCCCCGCCAGCGCCCTGCCAGCGCCCCGACAGCGCCCTTACGTCCTTACCACGCGTCCTTACTATACGTGTTCACTGTAGGAGGGGCGCGGGCTCGCAGGTCTGCCTCCACCTTCGGCCTCCTGGGGCCATGCCAAGGCCTGGGCCGCGGCCAGCCACCGACTCGAGAGCTCAGAGCTGGCCCTGGGCCCAGGCCGCGGGCTCCGTGAGGAGGAGGAGGAGGAGGAGGAGGAGGAGGAGGAGGAGGAGGAGGAGGAGGAGGAGAGGGAGGAGGAGGAGGAGGAGGAGGAGGAGGAGGAGGAGGAGGAGGAGGAGGAGGAGGAGGAGGAGGAGGAGGAGGAGGAGGAGGAGGAGGAGGAGGGAGGAGGAGGAGTGTTGGACAGAGTATTGGAGTGTGGAGGAGCGGGTTCCAGGACCCGTCTCCCTCACGGACCGCCTCTTTCAGCGCAGGGCGCGGGCGAGGATCACGGGCTTGGGAGACGCCGGCCTGCGCACCAGCGCCGCTCCTGGCCGGGCCCATCCCGGGCCTGGGCTCGGTGTGTGCGCGATACAGTCAATCCGCACAGCAAGGATGGGCAACCTTCCCAAGGGTACCCTTGAATCCTTGCCTCCTCGGTCCATCCTGGCCACTTTCGCCGGCCGCGCCCCGCTTGAAAGGCTTCGGAATGGGCGCCCAAGGCCCTTGCATCCTTATCGCGCATCCTTGCTATACTGGTTGACTGCAAGGATCACGAGCTTGGGAGACGCTGGCCTGCACACCAGCACCGCTCCTGGTCAGGCCCATCCTGGGCCTGGGATCGGTGTATGCGCCATGCGCCCCGGGCTGGCCAGGAGGGCACCGATCCTGGGCCCAGGATGGGCTCCGCCAGTATCGGTGCAGGTGTGCAGCGTGGCACGGTGCAGGAGCAGAGGCAGCAGGAACGTCGGCGCCTACAAAAAGGAAAAGCGAATGCTTCAGGTGATCTCTCGGGTGTTGCCCTCAGACATCAGCGTGACAACAACAAAGCCGACGAGTTCGCGAAAGATGGAGCCCTGGTACACAGGGCTGAGATCTTGTAAGATATCAACACCTATGAACTGAGTTTAGCAGGGTGGGAGGAAGTATCTCTAGGGATAGCGGGCATGTTGGAGGGCCTCCACAAGGCGAAAGAGCTATTTGGGGATTTGGCCAAACACCCCAGAGTTCCGAAGCCTCACAGCAGTGTGTCTCACGCGGTGCTCTGGAACGGTTGTCGCTGGAGGTGCGTCAGGTGTGACAAGTGTTTTCGCGCCAAGCGTGCCCCAAGGAGATGTGCCGCCCTGCCAGAATCGTTGCTGAGAGTACGAGACCAGGCGGTAACACCCGCTCACTCCCTGTACGTGTGCAGGGTGCTTGAGACGAAACTCCCGATCTTGATGTGTATGAAGTGCGGGGCCTACACCTCTGGACAGGCCAGAGCGTTGAGGGCCCCGTGTCTCAAGGTGTTTTTCCGCCCAACGTAAGCTTCTGTTGAATGGACGCTTGCCCTGGCCGAAACGCCAGCATGTGTCCGCCCCCTGGCCACTTGAGAACCCCGGAAGGTGAGGCCGAGTGGTGATCAAGGATCAGGCGCCTGTGATCGTTTTTCCTAGTTCCAGCAGCCCCTGTCGAGCCAGGTCTGGAGGAGGTGAGGAGCGAACCACTGGAAAAGGGGGAGCATCGCTCATCACACGTCCTGCCTACTTCTGCAAGGGGGGGAGCACCAGCGGGGGCGGGGGGGAGAGGGACGGAGGGCCGACCTCCGGAGGAGGTGGGGGGAAGGCGGGGCGCAGCAGACAACCCGGCAGCAGCCGCCCCGACCGCGGAGAGCCGTGTGGACGACTGCGCGGGGCGAGCAGTCGAGAAGATCGCTGCGGCCTGGAAGTACACCTTAGGCGATGCTTAAGTTTTCGGCCAGAGTCTCGATTATTCTTAACGTTTCAATGTAATTCTTAAGATTTTAATGGAAACGTTCGGCTTTTATTCAGGTTCTGAGACTATGAATTTCTTAACCCATGATTTCTTAGGCATTTCGCAGGGTGTACACTTAGGCATACCTGCACCAGCTGTGCTGCGAGGCACGTCGCGACAGCAGGGGGCCACGTGCGAGCCCTACCCCTACCCCCCACGATTTCTGAGGGGAGGGTGGGGTTCCCTTCGCTCGGGAGCTCCCGAACGAGGTGAACCCCACCCTCCCCCTCAGAAATCGTCGGGGGTAGGGGTAGGGTTCGCATGTGGCCCCCTAGACAGGAAAGGGGACGTCACGATAGACCAGGCCGAGTGCATCAAACAGCTGCGGTCCATCGTGCGCCCCGGCCTCGCGCGCGTCAGACCAGAAGGCAAGGCGACTGCGATGGTTGCATACATGTTCGTATGCTGGCGAGGCGCTCTGGCCTGCGCAGAGCTTGTCCAGGCTTGGTTGATGGGGTATGCTGTACTCGTACAGAGGACCCAAGAGCCAACCAACCTTCAGGTTAGCAGGCTCGTCGCCGCCACGCGGAGTTTTACCAGCGAGCCCAAGAAGGTCGACTTCGCCGCGACGAGACCGACTGGGGAAGTTGAGAGTCATACATATCAACTCGGGGCATCGTCAGCATGCCAGCGACGCGAGCGAGGAGGGGAGAGGACACCTGCATCAGGGGCGCCAGTCTCGCCAGGCGAGGAAGCTCGCCTTGTGGAGTGGCCGTCGTACGTCTTGCGGGCGGGCTCTGCAAACTGCACAGGAGGCAAGCACGATCTGGCTACGCAGCAGAAGCACTCGTCGCCGACCGTAACTCGGACGAGTGGTACACCGCTGTGATCACAATCTCCACGAGCTCAAGGCAGTCCCCCCTCGCATCGAAGGCACTTCGCGAACATCGCGAGGGAGCTGCCCTGGCCATGCAACTACCTTCGACTGTCGATACGGAATTCGTTTTCAAGACAGGGTCGAGTAAGGATTGGAACATTCAAACCGGCCGTACATCGCTTGATCGTGTCAGTCTTATACGTGGGATGATGGGGGCTTGCGTGGCATATGGTGCAGTGGCGTGACTCGCTTATTATGTTTGCAGAGGCACACGTTGTTGGAAGCAGTGATCGCGAGCTGCTTCCAGACGCAACGTCGGGCGTTTGTCCCGTTTCGAAGTAGCGCTCGTAATCTTGTATCTCAAGGGAGTGTTGACGGAACCGCGCGCATTACATGTTGAAATTGTCCATGGAGGCCAGGGGATTTTCTCAGCAGCATATGTTCTGTTGCCGGGATGTGTGTACGAGAATCCATCATCGTAGCGCCTGTTTTGCAGCGCCTGTTCTTCTTTTGCGCGAGCTACCTACAGAGTGCGGAGGCGCTCCCTACACAGTTACGAGCTTGCTTATGCATTGTTGCTTAGTAGTCTTGCGCTGCTTTGTTCTGGCAGCTGCGCTACATCTAATAATGATTTTACTTCGCGTAATTGCCCAGGTTAGTTTCACATTCGAGCTGAACGCGCAACTGCATTGAGGTGTTGGGCCTCGCCAGCCAGCCGTTGCTTGAAATAACATGTTTTTTTTTTCTGATCGTGATTTCACCGTCGATGGGCTTCCTCTCCTCCCGACTCCCGACTGCAAGGGGGTCAACGTGGGGGTTTGGAACAACCCTCATTCCTCTCCCATG